TTGTCATATGAACACGTTCAATGATCACAAAATCATTCCTGGTAACATCAATTTGATGATAAATCTTGAGGTTTAAAATTAATCACAATCAACAAACAAGTTTTTCTTCCTTACAAACCCTTTCCTCAGACTAAGCTCTACTTCAAAATAGCGAACATGTTGGCAATATCAAGAAAAATTTAATTTTTCTGCCTTGCGAAGTACAACGTCAGAGCTCAAATTGACTTATGAATGCAGTGTTCTGTAGTTATGATCGATGATTTCAGGGGACTATAGAAATGTGAATGAAAATCCTGCTGCTTCGAAGAGATCTTTTACGAAGTGTGATAAATTTCAGTTTGAACTGCTAACTGCATTAATAAAACAGATTATGAATCGAAGTGTTTGACAAGTGTATCCAAGAATACATATAATTACGTACCTTAACTGCATAACAACTTAAAAGTAATCACTGTGATCGTATAGACACGAAACATTTCGAATATCACTGCGAATCTGAAGAAATGTGATTGTTTCAAGAACATCTTCATAGTGTTGCATTCGACAATGATACGTACGAAATAATGTTATTGCATATGATAATCATGCCTAGTAATCTCTTTCAAAACACAATCCAGTTCAGGTTTATACTTATGTGTGTGCTGACGGGAATATATCATTTTACTTCGACAAGGTAGGTCAAATACTTGAAGAATTTACACAGTTAATTAAAGTGTTCTGAGAATAATTCAGCAATGAAAATGTCGATGTTGAATACTGTATTAATGTTTTAACATGAAATTGTGAAGTTAGGCCAACACTGTGGATAGATATGTATTGAATGGAGGAGATTGTTTGCTTACAGATGTTGACTCGAATTTCCATAACTTATTTTCAGATACCTAGTGATATTGTTACCAGTGAAATTGTTTCGGAGATTTGTGAACGTTGGTTGTGTAAAGACACTGAACTCAGTAAGAAACATTTAAAAGAACTTTGTTTTTGTTTTGATGTACCATGATCTGGTTCATCATTCATTCGTTAATTTAACTTCAACTACCAACCGTGATCTGTTTTACACTGAAAATCGACATAGTTTTGCTCGATGAATAATACAAGTGAAGATTACTTACAATCAACGTTTGTCGATTAGCGTAATTAGATTTATGTGTTTTCAATCACCTCAAATAATAACATACTTTAATAAGGCCACCTGACTCCATTGTTTTCACTCAACAGCAAACTGAACCAATCCATGCTGATCTCATTCATATAATTATCAAAAACCTGCCCGTGATCTCTATGCTCATAGGTTTGAGAATTCACATCTCTCCTCGAATCATGCGCAAGAATTCAAAATATAGATGCCAAAGTCACCTCGATCGGAAGACTAGTTTACTGATCGAGATCTCAAATTGTGTTAATTGGCATTACTTTTCCACGTGGTTGTCCTAATTCCATCTCTAGATAACTATCAATTAGATATTTGTGTAAAATAGCCTTACAAATTAGCTGAAACAATTTTTCTGAAATGTGGAACTCAGTTATTCTGTGATCAACATCAAATAAACTAACTACATCATTTTTAATACAACATATAAATTCACTTAATCAGAACTTGAAGTAGAAAAGCATTCTGATTGGAATTCATTATTTTTCATTGGAGTAACAATCTCTCTTACACCTAACTTGAAAGCTCACAGCAACTCTTTATGAATTGTTCTGCTGAAATTTAAGATTGATTCACGTTACATTAAAAGGCACATATTCATTGGAAATTAGGAGGAGATAACCTTAGATATCACATTGACAGCATTATTGTTTTCGAATATCAGATGTTTAGATTGATTTAGATTACTAATTGATAAGGATTTATGATTGCTAAAGACACAGCTTATATTATTCATGATGACCATCGTTGACTTACATTAGGTGCCACATAATCACCTATAATGAACAATGTAGACTGTACAGTCAATATTTCAGTTAATATTTGTGCAGCTACATCTCATCATATTCAGAAATATAAACTTGAAGTATATAATCATACTTGGTGAGGCAACATTATCATCGGAGTGTTGTGCATTCTCCTATCCGAATGTATCACAGTACACAGCAGACGTGGTGTTCAAGATATTCAATTCAGTGATATATATGTATTTATATTGAACGGATAAAATGTATGACTGAATGGTAATGCTGACAATATACATTTTAAAATGTCACGTAATTTGCAAAGACTTTGATTGGTTTGATGATAAACATTCTATAATCATTTTAAGACCAAGATCAACTGATTAACTGCAATTTTCCGCCTAATAGGTAATTATTACGTTCCATTGTTCAATAAAATCGAAATTCCGAAATCACTGATCAAATCTGGCACATGAGTGCAGTTTCGACCAAGGCCAAGTATGTTAAACAATGAGTAATTTTATTCGACGTAACATTTTACTGGTTCTATTTACATTAGACTCATTTATTTTGTGGTATTTAGAGTGGCTGACCACAAATCACAAACACTCGTCTGTCTCAACAGATTTACATGCTGTTTACTATGCGAAATTACATTTCTTCTCATTACCGATTATTCAAAATCATTTGTTTATGTTCTGCATTGGTTGTGAATACAGCAGTTAGTCGAGAATATTAACAAGATGATCACTTCTATTCCAGTTCCACTGTTTTACTGTTATACTGAATTTCCATGAAGTGTCTAATCACAGAAACACTCAATATATTTCTTATTGCTTTTCATCATAGACCTGATTTCGGAACACTCTACACAATTATATCAATACCCTACAAGTTTCAGGTAGAGGTCAATAACTTTGAAATGAAATATCATCTATCAGACTCCATAGACATATTCATAGAATCGAAATCACTCGTTATAACCGGTGTACTGGTGGAAAATGTTGTTAACTGAATGTATGAGCGTTGAGAATTAGTTTGACAGCTGTTCTATAACTTAAACTACTGTTATCTTATTGTTTTCACAGAAGTTTGTTTCAAGCAACAATCAACTGAAAGTTGCTTTGACGCAACCACACCTACATTTAAATGTTATTGGTGTCCAACTATCAGCAAATGTAGCAATGGTCAAGATATTCACACTCAGGAGTGGTTAGAAAACAACTGTTATAAAACGGCAAGTACTTTCAATTATTAAAAGATCGTTTTTGAAATTCTGATTTCAATTATTTTAATTGTCCATTGAACACTTGAAATTTCTATGAAACACATATGATTTAATGGTTACGAGGAAGTGTTGCAAAGCATTTATATTTTTAGTTTGGTTAGATGAAGCATTCTAATGATTGACGCCATGTAATCTACCACCGGTAAAATGCCATCACTTCATACATGAAACAATGAATAGTTATACACTATGACTTGCATGATAAAAAATATTTTAGATTTCGGTATCATTGAGTGTGCAGTCATTATAATGTGACATGAAACTCTAGGCATGTACCTACGCAATAATACACATAGACACACGAACACATCACGTCAGTGAAACTTGCGTATCTGTGGGAATCATACGAAAGAAATTGAGTAAACTGATCAAAAAATAAGTATTGATGCTGTGGACATTTTGACGTTTGATATGCATTCAGCAATCGATTGTGATTGCTCGTTGTCAACTACAATTACTCATACTGCTCATACTCATACTCAGACTGTGATTCGGCCTTTATGTTAGTGAATCCTTCAAGAAAATGGAGAGATTGGGAAAAACTGTAACCCATATTTGTTTTATCGTGAATGTGACAGCGAGTCGGGTTAATGTGTGATGATTTCATATAAACCGTCTAAATTGTAGTAAATATACTGAACGTTTATTAGGTACCGATGTATTGAATATGGAAAGATGTTACCATTTCTTACCATTTCGTTTTTAAATGCTGACAGCAATGTAGTAGGAATGTAGTATGCACTTTTAAACACTGAGTATATGCTTTCATTTTTCAGAATATTTCTCAACCTCAACTGCAAACAACTACAATTTTCAAGCAAATCGACGATACTACTTCACGAAATGTGGAAGATAACAATGTATGTGCTTGTTAAGATTTACATGTTAATTTCAATTTTCTTATGTTTGATATCGTTAACTTTTTAATGCAGAAGAACATTGGATTGCTGCCTTCATGTATCGGAGAATTATATACACGGAGTGTATGATTTAAACGTGGTAACGAGGAGCAACTACTGCTCTTTCGACGCACAGTAAGAACAACAGTGACCGCAACAAACATACAGTTATTACCTGCAAATCACAACAACATCAGTCAAAAATAAGCTCACTTTTATACTAACTCGTACATCTTTTTGAACAATGATCACTGAAAAACACACATTTGAACTTCCAACAGAATCGAATGTTGTGTGCCTTACTCAACCTAACTCACGTTCAGTTACTCCGAACAATGTCTTTGATATGTTAAAAATGCATCTCACCGAAATAGATCAATGTATTACTGTGCAAAATATCGCACTGAAAATAGAACAAATATTACACTGACTAGACGTCATCTTGAATAGACATCACAAGCAATGTTGAATACGAATTTGAATGAGTTGGGCAAGTAATTTCGCGATTTATTTTCAATAACCTCGTTCATATTTCCAGGCAATAGGCTTGAATTTTTGAAATGGTTGGCTTCATCTAATATATCATGACTTTCTATGTTATCTACGATAACAATGAACAGTGTACAGATAAATAGCACAACTTGATTGATTGAACGACAAAATTAACTTATTCGATTGCTTACACTACGGAAGGACCAATCCTAGCATGCTTCAACATTAGTTGCGTCAATGTGTGCCCTTTTCAGAATTACTGTCGAACTTGTAGTCAATGTACAGAATGATTATTTGTTGATGATGTTTTGACTGTGTTAAATGTGTTACCATTTCTTGAATTCTGTTCGTTTATAAATGCTTACAGCAATCTAGAATGAATGAAGTACTTCCATGTTAAACATTGAAAATATGTTTTCATATTTCAGAATATTTCTCAACCTCAACTGCAAACAACTACAATTTTCAAGCAAATCGACGATACTACTTCACGAAATGTAGCAGATAACAAGGTGTGTGCTTGTTATGCTTCACATGTTAATTTTAATATTCTTATGTTTGATACTGTAAATTATCATACTCACTATGCACTGTTAAACACGGAGTATATGTTTTCACATATTTCAGAATATTACTCAATTTGAACTTTCGACGATTGCAATTATTGTTATTGTGGCAATCACTGTTATTTTGCTCATTATATCTGTAACTTCAGTGTTTGTGTATTTGTTTATTCGAAATGGTTGATTGTTTGTAAATTCTTCTCAAAATATTTTTCATTTTTTTTTCATTTAATTCAATAATTTGTTATTGTTTCGTAAATAAATAAAAAGAATACATTTTGATCATTTTCGTTAGTGGTTTGCTGATCTGTTGATTAAACTACAGAGTCTGCTTTAACTGACCTAACACGGTTACTGCTCGACCTAAAATTAAATGAATTCGCAGGGGTTATTCACGGTTTAGGAATCTCATTGTTTCGAGAACAAATTCGCTAACATACACTCACCAGAAAACAATAATTTAACCATTTAAAATCTGCAGTGGAATTGAAAAATTCCTCATTCAAAAAAGTTTTGATGCTACGTGATTTGATCAGTCACATTGTATATGAAATCTTCACCAGAGTTTTAGGCTAAATAGTGTTATGATTTGTGAGGAGAAACGAGTCAAGTTTGCTTATATCTTTAACCAACTATACGGCACGTGGACATTGAAAGATGGTGTTATGACTTGTAAGCTAAACTCTTATACCACACGTCTAAACATTACCTCCGAACTAACCGAATTACACATCTACTAGCACTAGTAGACTTGAGATGCTGAGGGACTTTTATTGGTGCTTGACTCAGTGTGTTTATTCATTGCCTTCACTTGCCCTGTCTTGCCCTGCCTGCACAGATCTAAGAAAGTTGCTCACTTTCTTCTACCGGTTTTTGAAGACTTCAACATTTCAGGAGAAGCACAGCAAATGTTATCACTAATAAAATTATTGTATCATTTATATTCACGGAATTTATGTCAGCTAGATACAAATAATAAACCTGCTTAATGCAGGCCTCGCATTCCCATTCAACGTACAACATTTTCTTTGAAAGTTTTACTGAGCGACATATAGATTGAGTTATGATTCATATGCTGTGTAAGTTATTGGTTGGAAATCATTTAACAGTTGCATGATTTGACCAACATGTAAAACTTCTGTAGAACATAGTGTAGTGTGCCGGCTTTATGCGTGTTCTTCCGTTTCGTAATAAGCTCGTTCAGACTACCTTATCCAAATGACGTCTGACGGTTAATAAATCAGAAGATGAATTCCAAGTATCGTATACGTTTATTGTAGCACACCACAATTAATAACAGCAGATCACAGACAGACCGAACAGACAGACTAGCGAGCGAATGTGCGAATGTGCGAATGAATTAATAAGATTAAAATGTTCGTATATATACAAAGGAAAATGTCTGAGTCATCGTGGTATTTAAGAGATTAATATTAAAGCGAATAGGATGCATATGTGCGTAGGCGTTAAGCAATGCTCAGTCATATCAGCTCATACAAACCGGATAATAAAAAATACCAATGGTACATATAAGTTGTTGTTAAGCGAATGGCTTGGTTAAATAAATTAATCGAAAAGGGCTTAACCAAGTTAGATGTGAGAGAACTGAAATATATGTGGAGGCACTACAATAGTATGAATTTCTAATTATTGAGGTAAATTTAAGTGATGAAGATTTGTACATTTTGTAAACAACTAAGTAGTGTCTTTGAAGTGATATACTAATAACTACCAACGCTAGTATAATTTAAGACGTACAGATGATGGAGTCAATTTGAAAACACATTAAAGTTCATACTCCTCGATACTTGTTAAGTTCTTTTGACAGTGGAGGTTAATAGGATAGATTAGAGTAGTAGTAGATTGCTTTTGTATAGAAGAATACGCAAAGTTGGAATGAACTGGAAAATTAAAACAAGCACGGTAACATAAGTTTATGAAGTATTGAGTTATTTATCTAGGTATGTAGAGAAATGTTCACTTCCTTGTTTGAATTATTTGAGGGATCTCAAACTCTTGATGACATTGTTGTAAATCGATCACAATAGGGTCATACACTGGTTTGTTAGTTATCATATCGAATACAGAGTTATGATTTTTCATGTAACATAATTAATTTGTACAGAATGAGAGTCAAAATTCATTATGAGGATGATGACGAAGATGAGCAGGAAAAGCAAATGTATCAGATTATAATAACTTTATTTAATTCCAAAGTTCTTATGGTATTTAACAGCATAGGCACTAATAAGTCTTGTCGAAAATCAAATGTACCTACTTTACGTAACATTCACAGAAAAGCATTTATCAAAGTTAGAAACAAAACCTAGCTTCATTTGGTGAAAGAAACATTCAATGTAAACGAAGTCGCGTTTCTTTATTTACTTAATCACAAAAGGCATAATTACAAATATTATAAAAGAGACGATTGAGTAGCCCATGGTGGAAAAATGTTTACCAACGTGATATTACTTCTAGGTTAGCCCTCCTAATACATTACGATGACACATAAATTAACGTAAGCATTGGTGAATTTCAACCCTAATAACTTTGAAGGGGTAGGAGTTACCATTTGTTTATTTGTGTCAAAGTATTCTAGATGAGGTTCAGATATACAGCTTTGAAATTTAGGTGTTCTAACTATCAGGTTACTGCTAAATCAGAAATATGTAAATTGGTAGGACCAGTCATTGGGATATCATTGGATGGATTCATCCAATTCAAAGTTATTTGTTTGGTACAGGGAGAATAGTAGCTTCACTCAGCTAAATATTGTCAGAGATAGTCGTATCGAAGTAATAGAAATATATGAAACTGTTAGATAACCTGACGTCCGCCATTTTGAAATAATTCGTACGCCTACTGAATTGAATGTGGGTAGTTCAATTGATATCTCCAATTATTGATGTACTCATTCATTCTTTTATCGAAACCAATTCATAAATCATACTATTGATAAATGAAATTCAAATGCGTCATCAAATAATTCCACTATTGACTGCGAAGACGTGTTTGGAATTTATAGGTTGTCGTACCATTGTCATCCAATGTTTTTGAATAATGCATTGTAATCTAACGTTATGCAACGAAAATGCTACAGTTATATAATAACTATGTTAGGAAATTGATTTCTATTCGACAACATCTACATAAACTGGACCTGATACTGCTTTTATTTCAGTGAACATAATGCACGAATTTCATGTACATCTGAACATGGTCGTGCATTAAATATTTGTTGAATTTACATAGAAGTATGATATAATGAACAAATGTGATGTTGATATAAATGAGACATGATTTTTATAATTCAGTGATTGAACTGTTTGGTTCGATTTTATGAATTTATAAACATAACGAGTTGCCCACAAGGATGTACCAGCTGATATTGTTATGATACGTCTGCGGAATGAATACAAGATCAGAATACCTATCGGCATCTAACGACTACAGTCTAAGTCTACACTGAGACATGAGTAAAGGAGAAAATATGCGAAACATGTGGTGAACGATTAGATTCAAAGTAGGTGTATGTTAAGCAAAATGAAGATTTTTGTAGAGTTACTCATCACCGTGGGCCTCTGGAGGTTTCGAGAACCCTACTTAATTCGATACTGGGATTGTTACATATACAATCACAATCGTTGCACGCTATTCGGCATGTTCCAGAAGTTTCTATGAACGTTCGATTCGCCTACGATTTGATAAAACCTTTCCTGCTGTTTTTGGCCCTGGATAGACGTTTCTGAATGATATTCTGTTGTTATAATATCAAAATAATATGACCGACTTCGATACAGATAATTCATTCTTCGTCCTGGCATGGCTTTCCACTAACAAATGAAACATATCAATGATTAACTGAACAAAACTAATCCGCTGTCAAACTCATCAAGAAACCATATATACGTAAACAAACTGAAGTGAATTTATCAACAGTATAAAAAAATCTGTGTTTCTGAAAATGGTATTCAGTGTTGCATTACATCTTGTCAAACTTTATATACATCATACATTTCCGTTGATTCTACATCAAGTCCACATTCATTTGTCTACTTATGAGTTAAAGTCTGATTGCAGTGTAATTCAATTTGTTCAGCTATCTGGATGATATGTTGTGAACAGAAAGGTTACAAATCATGTTAATTTCTCAAATGCTATCATGACTGTTCGTCGACATCACAGTATTAGATTTTACGCTTATGTTTTCAAAATGAACGCCTTATTTTCCAAAAGAAGATTGTTCCATAGTATTTCCAATTGGTTGCAATGTGAATTGATGAACACAGATTCATTGCTTTGAATATCAAGTACTGACTGTGAGATATAATAGCTTAGAACTCCGTCACTTGTGTAACCGAGAATAAACACTGCTGAAAAACTTCATGCTAGAACGAAGCAGCTCTCTATCACTTTACAACTTTTAATGGTTGTCCAACTAATCGTAAAGGAATAATTTATAAAACTCGTCAATCATCATGAACCTTTTCTAGGTAATCAGTTATCTTAGTTAGGTTTTCTACTGAGTATCGGTTGCTTGCCTATTAGTTAAGGAATGATGATAAGTGAATGATCAAGACGTTGTGAACGTCGTTGTCATATTGAAACAAGCGACCTCAATATGATCTACCTGTTCACTTGAAAGAAAACTCCTATACATTTACAAACATTTTGTTTTGATACATGCCATCCGAATGCCAACTATAAAGTGAGTCACTCAGCCAGATAAAATGAAGATTTTGGTGCGTGGATAATTCCGTTCAAGCTGCCACATGACATTAGCTCGGAGCGATCGAACGGTCAGTTCAGATAGCATTGTAGTAGATATAGTAGAAGTGTTACTGGTAATGGAGAAGATGAGGGATCCAGATAATAATCAAGAAGTAAAACCCAGTGAAATAACTTTAGGAAGAGAAAAACCGATGTAGACATTAGGCAGATTTGAAATGGGGAGGAGACGAAAAGTGGATGTATCTCCACCATCGCAAACGATTTTGAGCCATATCATTCAAAGTCTCTAACCATCGGTCAAACAAACAACTACGACATAACACTCATACAACTACAGTCAAAGCAGCAGC